CCTTCAGCTGTTTATCCACAGAATTAGAGGTCACCTTCAGACTAAATCTCTTCTAGAGGAAGTTCATGCTTCACAGAACAGTTAATAGGGTTTTTAAGCACTTAAAATAGCCATCCCTTCATCCTGAATTCCTAGGAAGTAGCAAAGAGGGTAGGCAAGAGACCTCTGTCCTCATTCTACAGGTGAGGAAGCTGAGAAGCCAGAACCATCAAATGACTTGGAATAAACTAGAGCTGATCTCAGGGACAGAGCTCAATACACCGGTATCCAACCTTGGCTCCTTCAAAGACAGGCTTCTGTATTACATCTTGCCTCAAACCATACGTGGTAAAGGCCATAGAAACTGTTTCTTCAAAATCCCAGTTGCTGTCAAGTTGATTCCAACCCCTAGCAATCTCCTGTGTGTTAGAGTAGAGCTGTGCTTTATAGGCTTTTCAATGGCTGATTATTTGGAAGTAGATCACCAGACCTTTCTTCTGAGTTGCCTCTGGGTAGACATGAACCTCCAACTTTTTGCTCAGCAGCTGAGCTCATTAAGCATTTGCACTGCCCAGGGACTTCCTCAGTTATTGAACACTCACGAAAAGCTAAATGCTAAGCTACATTCCTGGCATACATTAGTTCATTTAAACCCCCACCCAACTACTGTTGTTGTTGTTAAGTGCAGTCGAGTCAGTTCTGACCCATAGTGACACTATATAGGGTTTCCGAGGAGCACCTGGTGAGCTTGAACCACCGACCTTGCAGTTCAAATGGCTTTGCAGTCTGACGCATTAACACACAGCGCCACACCAGGACTCCACACAACTATTATCAAGCAAGAGTTATTCTTATCCCTGAGTCCCCATTAGCATCCTCTGACACAGAGCAGGTAAGTGACTTGTCCAAGATCATACAATAGAGAAGTCATGATCTGAACCTATACTGCACCCAGAGCACATAAATCTACAGATAAGGAGTGGTATATCTGGAACATAAAGCAAAGTTGGGAGTCAAGCATGATGACATGCATTCACCTACTCAGCAATATTTCTTGACCACCTGCAAGTCCAACCCTGGGCTAGACACTAAGGACTGACTCCACAGAGAACAAGACAGGCTGGATCCCTACTCTCAGGGACCCCAGCATGGCGTGAAGCAGGCAGAAGTGCAAAACAAGGGCGGAGAATGGAGTCAGACGTCTTCTTTCAGGTTTTATTTCCATCAGCCAGGACTAGGAGTCCTAATACTTCACAGCGCTGCTCTGTTTCTTCTCCTCAGGTGAACCCATCAACTGCAGGCCCTTCCCTCTTCAGAGTGTCCCACCCAGATGGTGGGCCTTGATTCGCTCCTGGGCCAGTCCAGAAGAGAGTCCATAAATAAGGAGGCCTTCCACTGCTACCATTGCTGCAGGATTGGGCCCTGTGCCTTATTTATCAACTACCTTCATTCACTGCTCCCTTCACACACCTCTCTGTGTGTTTCAACATCCTTTTGTTCAACAAATATTGATTAAACTCCTACATGCAAAAAGCCTCAGGGCTGGCACCTGTGGAAATACACATTAAGCCAGAGTCTCCAGGACCTACAAGGGAAGAAAGAATAACAGCAGAAGCTGCCAGGTTGTGTCTCTTTTCATGCCAAGGTGAGCATTAGCCCTTTTTACAAATGAGCATGTAGGCTCAGCAAAGTTTAAGTACCTTGCTCAAGATCACAAACCTGGAAGTGTCAAGCCAGGATCCTACCCAGTATCCACTCTCCCCAGCCAGTCCAGCTGCAAAACACCGAGAACACACATCCCTGTAAGGGCATGGGCAGGATCCATGTGAGAGGACAAACCAAGGCTGCTCTCAGCCTGAGAAGATGAGCATTCTGACCTGCTGCCCACAGAAAAGGTGGCTTCAGAGTCCAGCCTCAAAGGTCAGGAAGACTGTGAAAGCAGGAAAAGTATGCAACACTCCTTCATTCATTCAAACTAATGGCAGTTTGTGTCTGCAGGCAGTGAGCCCAGCCACGGTACTTGAAGACATGACACACCATGGCCAACCGTTCACAAGTTCTTGAGTCATATGCCTCCTGCCTGTACAGACTTCTACCTGCATCTTCATCAGACCTCCCATTCACCAAGGAAGCACTTCCGACCACGTCAGTTAACCTGCTCACTGTGACAGCCCTGAGGGGTCAGCAGATGGACATTCGTCCCATTTACAGAAGAGGCAACTAGGGCAGAACCACAAATACAGTGATCATGGCTATCTTCTTTACGGCTCTAAACTGTTCCTCATACATAGTAGATGCTCACTGAGTAGCCTTTGAATGAATGAAAGTCGGCCCCAGGGCTAAATCTAAGGTCTTCTACCTCCCTTCCAAGTAACCTTTGCACCATACCACCCAACTCACACTTACTCTTCTGACTCTATCTGGAATTTCTGGTACTGGTTCACGTGAGAGTTCAGGTCCCACTCAACCCTCACCTCCCACAGTCAGTAGGAAGGGTATTAAAAGCAAAAAAGTATTTAAATCTGATTCCTGGAATGTCATACCACCTCCTTATATCCTCACCAACCTGCTAAAAACTAGGCAAGGCTGAAATTTGCAGATGAAGAAACTGAGACCCACACAGAGAATCAGTGGCAAGGGGAAAAAACTGGGTCCACAGCTCCTTTTGCCATACTTCTCCCTCAAACCCCATCAGAGCCAGCTGGTATTGGCTCTCCCCAGTACAGATACTGCACAGGCTCTGGAAGTCTGGCTTTCCTGCCTCCCTTATCAACAAGGGGTAAGGGAGGGGAAATTGCCTGCCCCTGACTGTGGCTGCATCCCAGTCCCACCATGCACCAGGCCCGGGACTCAGCACTAGTTACGTCCCATTCTGTTCCTGTTTCCTCATTCTCATGTGTGCCTGATTCATATGAACTGAGACAATATAGGTAGTGTGGTATGACCTGAGCAAGTGAATTAGACCCCTGAGAGCCATATTGCCCACGACCCTGTTCCTGCCTGACTGTCTAGAAGCCTACACCTACCTCCACCTAGTCTCTAATTCTCTCCCCAACTATACTTAATATAAACAGTCATTTGATCAGTATTACTGAGTGCCTACAATGTGCAGGATTGATGCTCTGGGCTGGGAAGACAAGAATTGCTGCTTCTGGAAACTTCCCACAGTGCTGAATGGGACCCTAACTCTTGGACAGCTCAGTCCTTAACTCTATCTCAGTCCTGCCCTCCAGATTCACTCCCCAGACACAAAGTAGATACTCAGTTAACAATAATGTCTCCACCTCATCGACTCTCCATAGGAGATCCCAAGACACCCACCACCCCAATCCCAACCCTCTTGTTCAATTTTAAATCTAGTCTCAAAAACGCTTCACTCCAGATAGAGAGAGAGAGAGAGAGTTCCAGGTCTTGCCTTCCATGGAAATCAAATCACCCCCTCAACTTTCAGCTCCGCCCACTGCCCAATGGTTCGGATAAATAAACTGGATGACTGGGAACAGTCAACTGGACGCACAGCCCAGTTCTCTCGTTAGGGGGGCCGACAGGAAGGGGAGAAGCTGCCACATTACAAAAAAAGTCAGCTCAAAACGGGGACACCTTCCCACGAAGTTGTATAGGGTCAGGCTGTGCAGAAGCCACTCCAGCGGCCCCCAGGTTCCCAGCTTTGAGAAAGCCCTTTGTGTGTGTTTCAAATTACCTCTGCTTGTCTGATGAAGTGAGGAAAAGGGCTTAGGATTCCTGAGTGAGCTAATACAGGATGCCTTTGGCTGAAAAAAAAGTTCAGTCGGCTCCCTAAACTCCCCCCCTTTAAAGTTTAAAAAAGGGAATGAATGTTACCATTTTTGGACATGAGCAGTCTCCCTCAAGCCCAGCCCTAACCGCACTGTCCAAAGGGACGCGCCATCCTGCCCCCCCATTCCCAGATCAGCTGGGGTGGGGGAAATGGGGAGGAACCGGATGGGAAAGGGGGGTGTAGTTCAGGGTACGTGGCTGCCTGGGGCAAGAGCTCACCCCGCAGGCAGGAAGCAGTGTCAGGGTTGGGGCACCCTCCTCCCCAAAGCTGGTGTTCTGACCTCTTCCTGCTAATGGCCACTATGCTGGGTTACCATCACTAGTTTCCTAGTTTCGTAGAACAGACCAGGTGGTGAGGTGTACAGGGCACCTGAGACACGGCTTAAGTACGGATCCCCAGTAACCGAACCCACATCTCCCCGGGGCAGTCTCTAACCCTAGGGCTCCTCGACTCTGAACAGCAAGCTCCCAAATTCGTCTTCTCCATGAAAAGGACAGGGGGTCAGAGGTCCAGGACGTAGACACAAGCCCCTCCGAGGCTCAGTTACCAACCCACAGAGTTAAGCAATAAAACGGCTTACAGTCCTGACCCCGCCCCCACAGGGCCCGCGGAGGAGTCCGCGTATGCCCCCCGCCCCTGGTTTTCACAGCCCCAGTCACACGCCAGCGGGTCCCGCACAAGACAGACCCAAAGGCGGCGGCCAATCCCTCCGGCGTCTGCTCTCCCACCGACCCGCGGGCCGGAACTAGGGGGTGCAGAGTCCCGGGAAGCTTGCCCCCCTCAGGTACCGAGCACAAGGCGGCCCGTGAATGGTGCTGCCACCACAAGCCATATGGAGAAGAGGACAGGGGGCGGGGAAGAGAAGGGAAAATCGATCCGCAGCTAGCAGTCACCCGCCGGGGGTCTCAGCCCCTGCCTCCTGCGCACCGCCCCCACGCTCTCTCCACGCGGGGATGGGGCAGCAGGAACAAGGACGCCGAGATCTTGGTTCCCAAGTCCGCCGGTGACCCCACCTTCCTGCACTCGAGGTGGGCGTTCGCCGGCTCTGGGGCAGGGGCAGTCTCCCTTCCGCCCGGCGCCTGTAACCCAACACCCCAACCTCCAGCGACGAGCATCTCCCGCCCCCGCCACTGAACGCCCGGAATCTGTTCCGAGCCGGGGGCGCCGCTGGAGGAGCCGGCAGGGACCAGGGCCGGGGGCTGTGGAGGCAAGGGCGGTTGCTGACCTTTCTCTGCTGCTTCTCCCAGGCCGGGTCCAGGAGCAGATCTCGGTCCCAGTCCTCTTCCGGCTGCATATAGTCGTTGGTTTGCTGGGAGTCATAATGGTCCATGATGGTGCGCGCGTGCTAGGGGCTGGGTTTCTTCCTCCACCTTCTCTTCGACCGGCACTGGCGGCTACTGCTGCTGCCCCGGCGTGGGGAGGGAGTGGGGCGAGTGGGGCGGGTGGGGCCGGGCTAGCTCCCGTGCGCCTAGTTCCGCCGCGGCGCTGCTCCCGAAGGCTGCTGCTAGCGGCAGTGACGGTGGCGGCAGCTCGCGACGCCTACCTCGAGACCGGCGCTCGGACTTAATCTCCACGCACACTGAGCCAGGCGGGCACACTCGCGCTGCGGGAGCCGAGAGGGCGGGGGGAGGGGGAAGGGGCAGAGCCCTCCCGAGGTTCTCTATTGGCCAGACTGAGTTGCCCAAACTTCCCCCCAGCGCCTCTCATTGGGAATTCCTGGTATCCGTCAGCCCGGCCGCGGCGCATATAGGTGGACTAGGCGGCCCCCTCCCGGCCCGCACGCCCCCGCCCACTCTCTCCAGCTTCCCACTCCCCTGTGGCTCATGTGACACTAGCTTAAGCTGAACGGGACCGTAGCCGGAGACGCCTCCTCGAGCTTGGGGACGGATCGGCAGCGCGCTCGAGAGCCTCAGGCATCTCGGGGGACTGGACCGTTCCCCCGTCCGCAGGAAGGCCGGGCTACTGGAGCGCGCGGGCGTTCCTGCGCTCCCACGCGCGCTCTGAGCCCCAGAGCGGGCCTTAGAAAGCCCAGAAAGCATTTTTCTTTATTTTTTTTCTAGGGAGTCCTGGGTGCCGGCAGGGAAGGGACGAAGTGGAAAGGAATTTCCTGGGAATTTCCTGATTACACCGTCCCCACCCCCTGCCCCCGCCCGGCACAACTCCGCCGACCTCTCAGCCAGTAAAGCCAGGGTTTTCGCTAGTGAATCGCACTCGGAGGCTACCAAGAGTTCCCGCCTCGCCGCAGCGTTCTTTCCGGTCTGCCCTCTGGCTCAGATGACCACTCACCGCGGGGCTTCCTGAGTAGCTGACTTCCCGGGATCTCCCGCTAGGTCCTCTAGGGTACGCTCGGCTGGCTGTCGGCACTGGAATTTACCTTCGCTAGTCCAGCCTCGTTCTCTTCGATGCACTAGAGCAGCATACTGAATATTAGAAGGAAGGAAGACCCTGACAAACCTACCTACTTCACGCTACCCCCCACCACCATCACCACCACACACACACCTGATAGATGGGGGAAATGAGGTTCAAGGAACATGAGCTCGTAAAAAGGATGGGGCAAAAATCTCAGGCCCCCACAGCCAGCCCTGTAACCTTATGCCAGACAAACAAAGCGTTATTGTTGGAGGAGGAAGGACGAAACTTCTGTTTGTCCCTTTCCTCTGGGAATGCAGCCTGGGCGTCCTTCCTCAGGAGTAGGGTTTGAATGCACGGGTCCTGCAGTGACCGAGAAGTTGGGAGGCCTCACATCTTGGTGGTGTTCTCTGAGGGACTGCGAGTCTAAAGAACAGCAGCAAATACACCTCCAATAGATTCGTCCAGTGCCTCAACGTCCAGCGTCCAGTAATGGTGCTGATGGTGTGCAGTCCAATTGGTTCCAACTCATAGGGTGTATGGGAACAGAAAGCCTCATCTTTCTCCCGCGGAGCGGCTGGTGGATTTAAACTGCTGACCTTTCAGTTAGCAGCCCAACGCATTACCACTATGCTGGCAGGTCACCAAGTAATCGTTGCTTATATTTGTATGATGAAGGATGAGTCAGATACAAAAGCCCAAGTCTGCCATCCCAGAAGTGAGTGGAGGCAAAGAAGGATTCACTGACAGGGTCATGAATTAGGAAACTGAAGGCCACCGTTTGCAGCGCTGGAAAGGATGAAGAAAGTGCCAGCGATTCTCAAAGAGCCAGCTGATGCTGTTGTAAGCAGATATCCGTGTTGTCACTGCTCCCTGCATCATTAGTTAACCACACACATTTATGTAAGTGCTACCCGTCAGCACTGTGCCTTCCACAAGCCCCTGGCTGAGGAAGCACTGCTTCTGAGCCATAGAGACAGCAGATTTATGGGCTATTTTATAACCACTTCTAAACTATGACTCCAAGCCTAACACAGTGGGTAAGGCTGGTACGGTATTCACTCAATAAATATTTGCTGAGCATCTTCCATGTGTCAAGGGGGTTTGTTGGATTCTATGTATATAGAGATGAAACAGATGTAATTACTGCACCCTAGCAAGGCACAGAAACAAAACCAAAATACAGTAAGATGTGTGCAGTCAGAGACCTATGACCACTGTACTGTGGAGGCACAGAGGAGGGGCATCTAGCCCAGCATGGAGAGAAAGCTCCAGGGAGGACTTTTGGGAGGAGGTGAAACTCAAGTGAACCTTAAGGAATAAGTCAACCAGAGGCAGAGGAGTGTGGCATGTTATTCCAGGTAGAAGGAACAGAGTGACTTAATGCATTGGGGGCAGGAAATTGCATAGTGTAAAAGGAGTGTCTGAAGATTCAACCTGGCTGGTCTAGAAATTCAGGCAAGGAGCGTGGAAGGGGACTGCTGTGTAAAGGGTAGATCTCAGGGGAACAGGACTGTCTGGAAGCTGTGAGACCAGTTGCAAAACCATTGCAGTAACTTTGTTAAAAATGAAGAACATATTAACAAGAAATACTTAGAAGATACCAGTGAAACTCTGAATCAACTGTCAGTGTTGAATTGAAGGTGAGGAAAAGAGAAAGGAGTTAGAGATGTTACTCTTGGTGTGGCACCGTAGGATCAGCACTGGACTGCTAACTGCAAGGTTGATGGTTCAAACCCACCAGCCACTATGAGTCGGAATTGACTGGATGGTACTTAACAACAACAGCTCTTTACAGAAAGGTTCATATGGGACAGACCATATTGCACTCAGAGGCAGATTGTGCTTCCTTACTAGTCTGTAATGAATTGTTTCACTTGGGCTTCACCACCTTTTGTAGGAAACCTGGTGTGGCGTTGTAGAATAAGCATTGGACTGCTAACCACAAGGTTGGTGATTCAAACCCACCAGCTGCTCCTCAGAAATCCTATACAGGGTCTCTGTGAGTTAGAACTGATTCGACATTACATAACAACAACAATATGAGAGACCTTGAAAAAGTTTGTGGAAAAATTCCATTATCTTTGAATTCCATTTCTTCACAAACTTTTTCAAGCACTCTTGTATAAATATATATGTATTATAGTATACATAAGAATCACCTGGGGATCTTGTTAAACTGTAGATTCTAATTCAGTATATCTGGGATGGAAAGTTGAATTCTCAGCAAGAGGCAAAACAGAATGAAGGGATTCAAAGTGCTGCTCCTAAACCCATGCCTTTAACTCAGGGGGTGACTTTGCTCCCTAATACTTGGTGGTATCTGGAGACAGTTTTGGTTGCTGCAAAAAGGGAGGTTGGCATCTAGTGGGGAGAGGTCAGGGATGCTGCTAACCATTCGGCAATGCACAGGACAGTGTCCCACAACGAAGACTTACTTGACCTATATGTCAGTAGTGCCAATGGTGAGAAATCTTGCTTTAAGCATAGTATGTTCTGGTGGATGATGAAAATACAACTACCTGAGAAAAAGAATTACAGATGGGCAGATTTGGAGGCAGATCATTGATTGAGTTTGGACACACTGAACTTCAGGTACCTTAGAGTCCAGATGTAGTTGTTTAGCAAGTAGTCATTGCATGGCCCTAGCCCTTAGAGTCCAGGTGTGGTGCTGCAGGATAAGCATTAGACTGCTAACCAAAAGGTTGGCAGTTCAAACTCATCAACCACGCCTTTGAAACACTGTATAGGGTTTCCTAGGAGCAGCAGCTGGTGAGCTTGAACTGCTGACCTTGCAGTTCAAACGAATTTGCAGCCTGTCACATTAGCCCACAGCACCACACTCTACAGGGTTACTATGTGTCGGAACCAACTCAACTGCACGTAACAACAATGACAAACCCTTGGAGGAGACAGAGTTGAGAGTCCTCTGCATATGGTGGTACTGACACCATGAGAACATCCATGGAAAATGCTCCAGTGGGGATGAGGAGAAGACCAAGGGCTGAAAGTGGGGATAAAGAACAAGAACCCCGGTCAGTCAGGAGATATCATGGAAGTCAAAGGAATGAAGTTTCAAAGTGGAAAGGCCCACAGTATCAGATATGTCAGAGAAGTCCGGAAAATAAAGCCATTCTTTGGAGCATTACATACAATAAAATGCATATTCAAGTGCACCGAATTACATGTAAAACTCGGTGAAATTTTACACGTGTAGAACAGTCACTGGAGAAGGATGTCATGCTGGGTAAGATGGAGGGTCAGAGAAAAAGAGGAAGACCCCCAACGAGATGGATTGGCCAGGTGGCATCATTGATGGCATCGAGTTTGGCGGCGGTAGTGAGGTTGGCCCAGGATGGGACATTGTTTCGTTCTGCTGTGCATGGCGTCGCTATGAGTCGGTTCTGACTCAATGGCACCTGACAACAACAACAACAACATACATCTATGTATACATGGTGGAGTCCTGGTATGGTGCTATAAGATAAGCACTGGACTGCTAACCACAGGTTGGAGGATTCAAACCCACCCGTCTCTCCTCAGGGTTGCTATGAGTCAGAAATGACTTGACAGCACTTAACAAAACCCATGTAACTACCACCTAGATCAAGATAGAAAAAGCCTTTCCAGAACCCTAGAAGGTTTCTCATGCCCTTTTCCAATCCATGACATAAACCAAAACCAACCTTCGGGCTGTCAAATTAAGTCTGATTCATAGTTAGCCCATGTTTTACAGAGTAGAACTGTTCCACAGGGTTTTCTTTACAGATGTAGCACCACTGGGTGAGTCTGAACCACCAACCTTTAGGTTAGCAGTTGAAAAGAAACTGATTATGCCACTAAAAGACACCAATTACTCCATCCAGGAAGTTCCAACCTCCTGACATATTCTGATTTTTAATTACAAATGATTATTTTGACATGTCTTTGAACTTCACATAAATGGACTCAAACAGTACAAACACTTTGATGCAGACA